ATCTGTTCTTCATATTGCTACGGTCAAGGGCTGGAATATTAAACAATTGGATGTAGAGAATGCCTTTTTGCACGGTGACTTGCAGGAGACGGTATACATGAAACAACCACCAGGTCTGGAAGATCCTACGAAGCCTCATCATATTTGCAAGTTGAGAAAGGCAATATATGGTCTTCGTCAGTCTCCAAGAGCCTGGTTCGATAAATTTAGTACTTTCCTGCTCGAGTTTGGCTTTAAGTGTACTCATGGCGACCCTTCTTTGTTTGTCTATCTTCACGGAGAAGATGTGATATACCTCCTACTTTACGTTGATGATATGCTCCTTACAGGCAACAATGAGAAGCTGATTGCTAAGCTAATGGTTCATCTCAACACAACATTCAGAATGAAGGATTTGGGGTCTGTTCATTACTTTCTCGGAATACAAGTTCAACCTCATTCTGGTGGTTTGTTTTTGTGTCAGGAGAAGTACACTTTGGACCTTCTCGAGTCTGCAGGAATGTCTGACAGTGCCCCTATGCCCACTCCGTTGCCTATTCAACTTGATAAAGTTCCAGGTACAGATCAAGAGTTTTCTGATCCAACCTATTTTCGAAGCTTGGCGGGTAAGCTTCAATACCTTACACTCACAAGACCTGATATACAGTTCGCGGTTAATTATGTGTGCCAAAAGATGCATTCTCCTACTCTTGCTGACTTCTCAAACCTCAAGCGTATCCTCCGGTATTTGAAAGGCACTTGTCGTTTGGGATTGAACATAAATGCAGATACTGGCTTCCTTCTCTATGGCTTCAGTGATAGCGACTGGGCCGGTTGTAAAGACACACGACGTTCTACTGGAGGTCTCTGCACTTTCCTTGGTTCAAACATCATATCATGGTCAGCAAAACGCCATCCTACTGTGTCCAGGAGTTCAACAGAAGCAGAGTATCGTACGCTCTCTCTTACTGCAACAGAACTCAAGTGGATTGCTTCATTACTTGGTGAAATGGGGATTTCCCTTCCTGATACACCTGAGCTCTTCTGCGACAATCTCTCAGCGGTTTATTTGACTGCAAATCCGGCTCTCCACAACAGAAGCAAACACTTTGACACTGATTTCCATTACGTTCGTGAAAGAGTGGCACTTGGTGCTCTTGTAGTCAGTCAAGTTCCTGCGGTGCTTCAACTGGCTGATATATTCACAAAGTCGCTTCCGCAACAGCCCTTCTGTTCCTTGCGTGACAAACTTGGAATCAGCAAGCCTCCTGCTCCAAGTTTGAGGGGGTGTATAAGCCCAAAGCCCACAGCATCACAATCATCACCTCAGGCCCAGTCAACATTCAACACAAATCTTCCTAAAGCTGGTCGTTGTACCACATATACTGCCAAAGACATCCAGCTATCCAACCGTTATGAAACCTTGGGATTGTGTGCTGGATTGTGTGCTGTCACCTGCTGAGCTGTGGGCTATCTTGTCCTCTTCCANGACATCCAGCTATCCAACCGTTATGAAACCTTGGGATTGTGTGCTGGATTGTGTGCTGTCACCTGCTGAGCTGTGGGCTATCTTGTCCTCTTCCATCTTTATATATTCACTCGTTTGTAATGCTCATAACTAAGCAAGAAAACATTAATAAAAGTGTATCTTCTTCTTCAAGAAATCCTCTGTTTCACTGAGTTTTCATTTAGTTCTATACAACACGGGTGTTTTCAGAAATCTATTGGCAAATTTTGACGACCAGAAAACATGAACAATTTACTGCAAAAACAAACATACAATGACTACGTTAGCAATCTTCAAAAACACTCTACGTTTCTTCTGTGAAATCCCATTTTACTCTTTCATAATGTTTACAAAAGATAAAAGTACTACCCATCGTGCAAATGGTCCCCTAGCTAATTGGCTAAAGCATCCCTGTGATGGATAATTTCTTTGATTCTTATTGTATAGTTTTTGTAGCTAATGATGAGATGCAGGTGATCAAAAAGAATACGACAGATCAGTACTAACAAGCTTACTTTAGCTAGTTTGATTCTTCTTAATTAACCGTTTGTAACTCCTCCCTTTTCTGGCCAGAACTTTACTTCAAAGATATCAGACAAACTCTTCATTAGATATTGAAAATGTATGTTTAGGCGGCAAAAGTCCGTTCAGTTAGTATCAAAGCGCCTAACTAATTATGTGGTGAGCGTAAGTTTTCTGGTAAAGGTGTTTCTAGAACCTAATATCGGATAAATCAATTAAAAATAATTAATATGTAAAGAGCGATTTTCTAGGTTATCTAAAATGTGTTAAGACTTAAGAAATAAGCAACGAATTAGGCAAATCAAGAGTAAGAAACAGACTTGGTGGCCAAGAGAAGAGCTTCCTTCTCAAGAGTTAGTTGTGTAAAGACATAAGCAACCAAACTCTCGACTACTTTAGGTATTTAAATGTAAAATGAAAAATAGCTACGAAGTGGATTATATCTGGATAACATAAAATGGTGACGTGGAGCAGATGAGATTAAGGGATTAAGCAACGCCACATGATCGGATGGATCACTCGATGGGTGGGAAGGGTTGGGGGGGCAACAACATCGAGTGGGGTTAAATGGTTCGGACACGTTAGACTAAAATATTAATCGAAAAGAGAAAAGTGAAATAAGAGTGGGTCTATAGACGAGGGCTGAAGGGGAGGACCCATGACAATGATCCTGATGAGATGAGATGAGATCCTATGTTGATACGCGGTTTTCTATTGAATCTTAATGCTTTACGTTACCTAATCTTACTAGTCTCTTTTCTTTTGTTTTGCCAAAAGTGTTTTTGTCTTCATATATATAGATGCAAGACCCAATTTATATAATCTTTAAAAGTTATAAATACTTTTTTACTTGATCGTGTTAAAATATGAAACTAGGTTAAAATAGCGGTTAATCCTTTACATATGAAGGTTTTAAGTAGATCTAAGCTCATACCAGTGGCGATCCTGAGAGAAGCTATAGAAGTATTAGCTTCTCGTCCTTAAATTTTATTAATAGATTTTGGTCTTTTGTTTAGTATACTATACTTAGTGTAGTGGTCTATATATCACTAATAATACCAAGAATTTTGAAGTTCGATTTTTAATTGGACCTTTTTATTTTATTTTGTTTATCATTTAAAACTAAGGTCCGGTGATAATGGCTCAATCTGTCAAAGATGATTGCAATTCAAATTTACGAATGTGACACAATGGAAGCAATAAATCACTAACAAAAACCATATAGCTGAAAGTTAAAGAGAAAGATGATTTTCATTTCAGTTTACGTTATTTTATTCAAAATTGAGAGATAACGTTAACTATTTTGTTAGTATTATATATCTGTATTGATACATGTTAAACATTTGTGTTGCATTACTGTTTAGACGTTTTACTAAATATCAAACAAAATTATATGCACCATATTACTTTATATTATAGAATTCTAGCTAGTTATTTTGTAAAATCCATATTACTTTCACTCTTAACTAATGTCGTATTCACGATTTTGATTTCCTTAATCAAAAAAATAATGTCAGAAGAGGCAAAAGAGGAAGCTAGGAGGAGACAATAAGCAAATTAAAACCAAGATGATAACGTAAAAAATACATTATTAAGTAATTAAACACATACGTTCGGATTGAATTTTGCGTTGATGAGCTTTCTCCTGGAGTATGAGATTTGTACTATTTTTAGTATATATTTTGTATAATTCAATAATGTTGTTGACAATCTTTTTGATTTTTTTTGTAATTAATCACGATAAGTATAGTACTTATGAGAAATGGCGTTCTACCTATAAAGTAATAATGAAAAAAATCTTGAAAAATCTGGACATGTAATAATGAAGGAATCTAGAAGAAGATAAACATAAAATCTTCTAAAAGTGGTAACTTTGATAGCATCCTATTCGGCAATTCCTTTTTCTCCAAGAAAAAATACTCCATTAACAATTCTTTAAAATAAGTAATATTAATAAAATGAATAAAATCAAGCGGAAGAGGAAAGACTGTCGGCTTAAATCGCTTTTGTGGCTCTTCCTTCGTATGTGGATAAGCCTCACCGTTTTTCAGACAACAAAAGATGACCCATCTCGTCATCGCCACGTCCCATTCATCCCAGTGCCTATCCAGCCGGAACGGTCAAGAAACTTCCACGTGTCGAAGTTCCATGGCTTTATCTTCAACGAATTATAAAAGAACTAATGGAATATCGTATAAGATAACAATGTCGATTTAACGAGGCTAATTTTTCAAATAGTCCTTAGACTTCTGGAATATCTGCAAAATGTTTCTTTTATTTTCAGACGAACAAATGGTCTATTATTGCCGTGAATAGTTAACAACTTTAAAATAAATTTAAGATATACTCCCTCTGTTTCATATTAAGTGTCGTTGTAGAGAATTTTTTGCGTTACAAAATAAGTGTCGTTTTCAGTTTTCAATGCAAAATTTATTAATTTTATTATGTAATTAATTTTTCTATTGGTTAAAATATGGTTAGGTGTATAGGTAACTGTGTTTTTATATAGGAAATATGTAAAATTAATTGTTTCCTTAATCCGTGTGCACAGCTGTAGAGTGACACTTATAATGAAACAGAGGGAGTATCTTTTTTTGCTAACAATTAAAGATTTTTTTTGTTCAACGAGGCAAAAAAGTCTACAGACAAAAATAACTTTAAATTACAAGATTCACAAATATATAAGCAATTCTCTTTCTTTTTTTTAAATGAAGCAAATTTTCTGGGTCTAAATGTTTTAAAATAAGCTATTTTTTTTAACAAGCAAGTTTATTTGCTAAATGTCTAAATGTTCTTTTAAAAAGAAGCCAGTTTATTTGCTGAAGAAAAACAAGCAAAAATTGTTGTTTGACCAAAAAAACAAGCAAAATTATTCGAAATAGATAAATAAATAAAACGGTGATCTTTTAAATTGAATATAATTTTGCAACATAAACCAATCTACTCGACCAAATTAGTATTGAATAAGACATGTCAATTTCTGAAGGACAAACAAACGAATTTAGGGGGTGGAAATATGAGAATAAGAAAAGTAGGAGAACTAAATTATAAATAAAGAAAAGAAGGCGAGAAGTGCATGCAGAGTGCGTGGATGAGGATAAGGTTAAGCCAACAGTTACTTCTGTCCCCTCTCAAATACTTAACTTATCCTCTCCCTCACCTTTTTAATCTTCAAATTATTTTAAACAATTAATGACAACGTGATAAATAATAATTATTGCTTTTTGTTTTTATTAAAGTTTTCTAAAAAACCACCAGAGCACCTTGTATAAAGACCTCATCTCCTCTTCTCTTTCATTTCCTGTCTGTATTGTGAGTTTTGAGAATACAAAGAAGTTCCAAAGTTATAATTTCCTGCAATGGATAAAATTGATGAATCTTATATGTTTAATTTCTCCGGTGATCAATCTTCTTCTGAGTCATTCTCTTCTTCTACTTCGGCTTCTTCTTCCATTGGGAGGAACAGCGACGACGACGAGGAGGGAAAGTCATCAGAGAATGAAGCTGAGTCTTCTTACAAAGGTCCTCTTGATCTGATGGAATCTCTCGAAGAAGTCTTACCCGTGAGGTAAAAAAAAAAAAATCTCTTACCAAAGCTTCTAAATTTGGAAACTCTTGTCTGAATCTTCCACAAATTTGGAAACTTTCTGATTTTTGCGAATGTGGGTTTTGTAATAGGAAAGGGATATCGAATTATTACAATGGAAAGTCAAAGTCTTTCACGAACTTAGCCGCCGCTGCCTCTGCGTTGACTTCCTCTTCGTCGATGAAAGACTTAGCGAAACCCGAGAATCCTTACAGCCGTCGGAGGAGGAACCTCCTCTGCCATCAGATCTGGGAGAATAGCAAAACGACTCCACGTGGCGGGATCTCGAAGAAACACGTCATGAGCTCGAGCAGGAGCGCGTTGACGCTAGCCATGGCGGTTGCTGCTGGTGTGATGGCGAGAGAAGGATCTTCTTCTTCCTCAGGAGGAGATTCGTCGCCGGGATCAACGAGTCCGACGACGTCTGGATCGCCTCCGAGGCAGAGACGTGAGAGTCAGATGATGAAGCTTCCTCCGCTGTATCCTAGTAGGAGTCGAGAGTCTTTTGGTGATGTGAAGTCGTCTTCTCAGTCGTCGTCTGGTGTTTGTGCGTGGAGGTCGTATTCTGTGGCGGATATTTCGAGGTGTTATCCGGCGACGGGTTGTGGTATTGGGTCTAGTGACTAGTAGGGATGTTAACAGTTGTTTTGTTTAATCTTATCTATATTTTTTTTTTAAGTTAACCCTTTTTTAGTTTTGGAGTAACGTCCGGAGAATGTATATACGAGTTTCGAAACTTTGAAATGGATCCACACATCTTTTTTATTTCGTGTTTTTTCTTTAAATACGTTACCTCCCAAATCTTGGCGCACTCAATCAGATCTGATATGTATGAGTGGGAATCCGAAATTCTCATTCGTTCTTATCCAAGTTTTAAATACTGAACCTTTGCACAAAGAGAAGAGTTTTTAATTACTAAACCATACGGAATATTTATATTTATCTGTAGTGACGAGTAATTAATAAAGTATGTAAGTGATAAGGTTATGTTTGGTGGAAGGAGAGGTTATCCTTAGTGATAATGATATGTTTGGTCAGAATGAGAGGATGGGGGTAGTTTGAGTCTGACACACACCACCCTTCTCTGAGTACATTTCCACGCAGACGCATTTGTGTCCACTCAAGTTTGGAATAAGTGGTTCAACGTGGATTTTGCTGGTGAGAACTGAGATGCTGAGGATAATAACATATCGGTCAAAGTAGAAACTATACCAAAAGTCAAAGTATAGTAGTTTATTAATTGGTCAATGGTCGGCTGCTCAAAGTCATAGCCCGTTTCCGTAAAATCTTGTCAATGATAATGTCAAGAGTATGTATTACTTATATGTGTATATGATCAATAATTACAAGATTCGGAATCTCTATATAACAAAGCACAGATCCAAAAACTTCAAAATGTGTATTATACAGTACCCTTCTCTGTTTCTTCTTCGCCTCAATAACAGATGGAACCCGCTTTCTAGCTGTTTCCACTTGTTTCAGATTTATGGAGCTGGAGAAGTAACGAATTTGAGACGACAAAGATCGAGCTCAGTGCCATTAGCCCACCTGCAAGCAAATTAATGATGACTTAACCATGAACTATATGATTGGATTGCGTCAATCCATAGAGTGGGAAGCGAAATAAAACTGTGCTTTGGTAACTTATTTAACTGGAATCAAGCCCACTTACCGGATAAGGAAGGTGTCATGGCAAAATCATACTGAGGAAGCAAGACACCTGCAGCTATAGGGATCGAGATGACGTTATATGCAATTGCCCATGCCAGATTCTGATAAACTTTCGACATGGTCGCTTGTGCTAGACTCAGTGCATCCACAACCTATATAAGAAACAAAAGAAGAACACTTGAAGTGATGAGCTTATACAGCTTTGTTTTTGAACTTATAAACCTTTGGTTCTTGTCCATTGAATGAATGCAACTCAATGAAGCATTTGATTATATAATTAGGTATATAGAGAGCTTTACATGTGAAAGTTTGTTGCGGACAAGTATGACTGATGCTGCATTCGATGCAGCGTTTTCTTGTGCCTCAATCTTTAGAGCTATTCCAACATCAGCTTGAGCCAAAGAAGGGGCATCGTTTATGCCATCACCCACCTTAGGAAACACACACAAAATATTACGTTAGCCTAACCTATTCCATTTTCTTTAACTTTACCATCTTACATGGGAAACAAGTTGAAAAAATGATGATTCTTGCAATTCAATTGAAGATCTTACCATAGCAACACGATGTCCAGAGGATTGAAGATTAGATATAAACTCGAATTTCTTGTCAGGAGACAAAGAATAGTTGGTTGATTCACTCTCAATCCCCACATTCTTTGCCACTGTTGCCACTGCCCCTTCCCTATCCCCTGATAAGAGGACTGTTTTGATGCCTTTCTCCTGAAGCCTTTTTAATAAGACGATCAACATAAAATTTTAGTCACCCTAGATGACTGCTGTTTCAGTTAGGCCAAAAATTGCACTGAAATTGACAAGAGAAGTTACTAGGAACAATTCGGTTCTGCTAAGGTCTCGAAGAAAAGTTAATTTCATGTAAACTCTCAAAAGTATAAAACCAGGGTAGTTTAGTTTTTATTAAAATAGCGAAAGGTAAGAAAAGGGAGGGTGAAAACTGAAAACTACCTGGCTACAGTAAACTCAGCATCTTTGCGCAAGCAATCAGATATTGCAATAGCACCAATAATGCCTTCTCCTTCGCGCCCAACATAGACAACGGTCTTTGAATACCTAGACGTCAATGAGGTGCTGGATAGTTTATGATCCAAATAACTTTCCAGCTTAACAACGTCCGAGGAGTCATTCTTTTTGTGGAAACGATTGGCCACCCATTCAAGTGCACCCACAGCAACCAAACGTCCATCTATTTCTGCCAGAGTTCCAAAGCCTGGTTCTGTCAATTGGCCTCTTGTTTCTGGAGTTTCCAGATTCAGCGCTTCGGCCTCGTTTACAATAGCCTTTGCTATTGGGTGTGTTGCTGTCTTCTCCACCGCAGCAGCTAGTTTAAGAACTTCTTGTTCTTCGTAAATTAAAGACCCGACGCCAGAGACGACAGGTCTTCCTTCGGTAAGAGTCCCTGTCTGGAAACATAATGCAGATGATCATCAATAGTGAAAACCATAACTCATCTTAGAGAAGAAATGGGAATTTATATAGCAGTCTTATTATATAGCATTTTCCATTTTGCTAATAATAGAGATAGGGGAGAGAGCAAGAAGGGTGAATACCAAACACCAAAAATTTAGCATACCTTGTCTAAAGCAATACAATCTATGGAGGCAAGGCGTTCTAAGACATCTCCTCCTCTGATAAGATATCCCCGCTTTGCTCCTGGACATGGGAGAGTACACCAGGGTTAGCTTCTGACTGTTTCAGCAATCTTGATTCTATTGTTACTAGTTACAATTTCTTTTCTAGTAATATAACGTTTAACTACCCCTCTAACCATGAGGGGTAACCACATTGACTGCAGTCTGAAGAGAACACGGCTCCAACTAGAAAGTTGGTTCTTTAAGATATCTAAGCGATTTTAGGATTTTTCATAATATCTGAAGACACCATCAACAACAGAAGTTGTAAAACCAAAAATATTATCTTTTATATAATAGGGTAATAAGAAAGAGCATAGAACAACTGGGAGCTTCAGTATCATTTCTATTCTTCCTAATTATTTAAAATCTTTGCAGAAAAATAGGTTACTCTTCTCGGCTAGGTTTGCAAACTTTCGAGTGCAAGCAAAATAATATGTTTGATAACATACCAAGAGAGGTGCCAATTAATATAGCGGTTGGTGTCGCAAGGCCCAGTGCACAGGGGCAGGAAACTACCTGGTTAAAAACAAAAGGAAAGAGTTGATTATCTGCACAATATGATGTTTTTTTATCCAAAGTTTCTATCTATCCCTCTTTACTCCTACTCCCTTAGCTAATTTACATTATCTCCACAATCACCATTTTACTTCCCTCATTAAGTCCGACATGTCCCAATAACAACTCCTGTTTTGATACTTCAAATAAAATACACTTTTCTATTCATGGCCACTCACCAGGACATCCACGGCCAGTTTTAGACTTAGTGCCAAAGGATCTCCATCAGGTCCAGCAATATCATTGAGTAAAACATCTGGAAAGATGTGTGAACCAACGTAATACCTGAAGCATGAACAACAGTCTTTCAGTTGGTGATCCTAGACAGGAAATCGACACATGATGCTTCGTTTACACTACAACTATATAAACAGATTCCTGCTAAAACAAGTATAAGAATCTTATTTGAATTTCAGATGTTATTTTCGGTCGATATTCTGAAAAGAAGATCATACCAGAAGGCAAACGTCACTGCAGATAAAGACATTATAGTGTACACAAATGGTCCAGCTATTGCATCTGCCAGCCTCTGTACAGGAGCTGCATTACCTTGAGCGTCCTCAACCTAAAAGTTCAGTGTTTCATAAGGTATTCATATTTCAGATTCTCACATAGCATCTCCGTAATCCAAACAATCTTACAAATAGAGCTCATTCATCTGTGGTAGCTTAACCTGATTCCAGACAGGAAAGGATGTGGATGAAATATAGACTAACTATAGAGGAACCGAGGGTTTTGACTTAATTTCATACATGCTTACTTGTCTGAAATCAGGTTTCTATATGCAATATTGTGACTCATTCATGATATTTGTATTTGTAGCTGTCTTTCCGCCTTTTATTTGGAGGAGCAAAATTAGATACATATTACAGAGATCAATGGGTGTATTTTTCTTTTTTCACGTGATACCTTTGAACAGCTACAAAGTTTTACATTGTAACTGATGCAATTAACCTTCACACAATGCAACATTCATGAAGATTCCGTTGGCTCAAGATTCAGAGACACTAACCATTTTGACGATTTTAGATATTGTTGAGTTGGAGCCAGTAGAGGAAGCTTCGATCCGTAAAGGGCCATCCTGAAAACGTAAAGCAAATTTCTGGTTTTCAAAAATATTGCAGCAAAGCAGCATATTTCCCACTCAATTTTGTTAAGGTAGCCTATACATACCCAGTTTATTGTTCCCGCTGAAACTGAGCAACCTTCTTCCTTATACACGGGAAGTGACTCTCCTGTCAGCATAGATTCATCCACAACACTTCTTCCAGCTAGCACATTTCCCTATGCCGAAAAAATCAATTCAACTTGATCAAAACGTCAATAGGAACTTTCAGAGACTAACCACAAGGAATAATAACCATGCTAATTAGAGAAAATAAGAATTATAGTAACTCATATCCATTATGGCGTGCAAGAGGAGAATGTGAAATTAAACTGAATCTCAGTAGAGCTGATAGATCCCAAAAAAAATTCAAACGCTGATAAAGCCAAATAGAAGTTCCCCAAGTTAAAATGATAGTTAGCACCCATTAAAACTTTTAAGTTTTGCTTTCAGATACCCACACTATGATGTTTTGGTAAGATCTGACAGTGCAGCAGCCAGCATGGATATAAAACTGGAAATCGCAAGATGTCGGAAAGGCATATATTACTTACATCGACAGGAAACGTTTCACCAGGTAAAACCAACAGCGAGTCTCCAACTCGAATCTCATCAACTGGGACATTGATGCAAATTGAATCAGACGAAAGTACAGAACCAGCTGCTGTATTATTGTCTGATGAAGTAATCACAAGTCTTGATTGAGTGGAGATGAGTGACTGCAAAGACACGTTTAAAGTCAAAAAATACGCAGTAAAAAGCCTACAAGTCAATTTTGAGAGAAGAGAAGAAAAGTCCAACTTACCAATAGTTCATTCATATCACTAGATGCTCTAAGCTTTGCTCTTTCTTCCAAAGAACGACCAAGGAGTACAAAACCAAGCAGCATGACCTGCATACTAAATGACAAGAGCTATCAATCAGAAATCTACCGTTCAAAATTGTAAAACAAAAAAAAAAGTTCATCATAGTCCCTTGTGGATGTAATAGAGAAACTCACCGGTTCCTCGAAGAACGAAGCATCCCACTCAAGTTCTGGATTAACAAGCGAGACCTGCAAAATTCAGAATGCAGAGAACTGCAGTTAAGTAGAATATGATACCACCAGTCAGAACTAATCAGAGAAAAAAAACTCACCAAACTGATGGCAAATGCAGCCATAGATCCCAATCCAACTAACGAGTTCATATTAGGTGATCTTTTCCCGAAAGCCTTTATACCATCAAACAGCAATTCTACAATTTACATTAATCTGTTCAGTCATTCGGCTTTCTGAACAGCCTCAAATAACAAATTACCACTGCTACCAATATAAAGCATTTACACCACTCTCAAAAAATAGGATGAACCCATCACTGTCACCTAAGAACTCTATATATTCATCGTTTCTCTTTTATGACGGTGAACATTCTAATACGAAAAGTTTATCCGTTTCAATAGGTTGGATTTCTGAATAGCCTGTGAATGACTACTTCTACCATTCGAAACATTTATGCAACAAAGCTCAAATATGCAATCAGAGTATAATAGTATCACTCCCTAGTATTGCTAATTACTCAACGTATATGCTTAATTGTAAGCATTCTAGACTAAAAAGAATAAGAAAAAGATATTTAAGCAAAATCAAACCTCGTCCTGGTCCCAACAAAGCTCCAACAGCCAAACCACCTTTCACGTAAGAGTTGTGTAGCAAGTCCCAAAATCCTCCTAGTAACACCAAGTCGAATACAAAGTCACAAACTCCATTTACATTAATAAATAACAACTAACATCCCTATTTTACATTGGTACTCAACTCTCTAACATGCAAACAATAATATACTGAAACAATGTACCATGAGCAATGTGTATTCCCACAGAATGAAGAATATGCGAAGTATGAGACCCGCAACACAAAGCCACCAACGTCCACGCAAACGCCACACGATTCCTACTCTCAACAAGCAACTCCTCCTTCTTACTCACCATCGCCTTCCACTTCTTCACATTCTCCGCCACTCCCATCCCAGAAACTCTCCTCTTAGCCTCAAACCCACTCTCCGTCAATCTCTGAGCCAAGCTATCCGCCGCATCATCCGCCATCGCCTCAACCTCAGGTTTAAGCCTCACAGCCGCAGTCTCCGTCAGCATGTTAACCACAGCAGACGCGACTCGGTCATCGGACATCAGAACCGATTTAACCCGCGCGACGCAGCCTCCGCACATCATCCCGCTCACGTCGAGGAGAATAGGCTTATTATCGCTCGCGACGGATTTCGCGGATTCGATGGTGGATTCAAGCGATTGAGTAGTGATATTTGATACTAGGAAGCTAGGTTTTCGAGAGCGGCGATGTCTGGGAAAGATTCGCTTCGGGAATTTAGCGTGGAGGAAGTTACCGGAAGGTAAATGCAGACTCGGCGGTGGAGGGAGAGTGAGGCGGAGGAGATTGGTCGCCATATTTGAAATTTCGCCGGCGAGAGATGAGCGATCGTTACGATAGTGAAGAAAATCCAGTGGTGTGGTATGGGTTTGTTTTAAACAGTATCCGAAACGGAATAGTCAGAGATTGACACGTTGGATTTGGAAAATTGGAATATATCCACACTACAAGTGTTTTAGCGCTCTTTTCTTTCTCGTCCACAAAAAGTGCTTTTAGCCGCGTTTGTGGAATTTTTTTAAGGCCCAAAACAAGTAGTGCCAGGCTGTCACCACCATAGACTAAAACGCAGCGTTTTGAAAGGTTGATTAAGTAAGACCTTCTGAATGATCTAGAAGTTTAACGTTACGTGTCGCCAAAGTCAGAAAGATAAAACGCAGCGTTGTGAAACGTTAGGTTTTCTTTTTTTTTTTTTGGGACAATGTTGACTCAGTAGTTGTATGATGGGCTTATTGGCGAGATAGCCAAACTTTGGACCTAAATTAGTTTTCTGACATTGATTTTGACATAATGTGGTGTCTGACTTTTAAGCTGTTTTCTATCCGGTTTTACCCCTTCCATCAACAGGTATCCAGTTATATGCAAATATTAAAGGACGTAGTTGTTTTCTGTGGTGAAGTTAAATAACGAAACTAATGAAGCGCGTGGGGTAATTATCCAATCTATCCGGAATGGTATAGAAAAGTATTCCATTCTATGTACATGGAATGAAATATATATTTATTTAGATACTATACCCTAATCTCCAATAAGTTAACCCTAAACCCAACAGACCCACTTAACATTATACCCTAATCACAAATAAGTTAACCCTTAACAAAATCCTAAACCAGAAAACGCAAATAGAAGCCGAAGCTTTTGATGTAAACTCCACATCAAATGGAATGGAATGCGCAAGTCTGGATGAAACCCTAAATAACATAGAAAACATCCCAAATCTGAATTTTCTATTCCATTGTGCTTGGAATGGACCAAAACCGTATGGATCTAGTTATGAAAACTATAGAATTTACATGCAATTGACAAGACAGGGGAGAAGGACGAACATGATACTAAAGCTTGAATTCAAAGGATGCAGAGTGGACACAGAGGAAGCTTCAATTGAAGTACCGGAGTAGATGGGGAAGATGAGGACACCGACGGAGACACGGATTTGGGAGAGAAGAAGACACAGTTGCTCTGATTTTGGGGGAGAAGAAAACGAAAGCTTTCTAGAGATGAAGAGGTCGGGTTGTCGATGTCGGAAACAGTTCGTTTGCAGAGAAGGAAGTGGGAATCTTGAAACAATTGGTGGAGAGGGTTAAGACACGATTTAGGGGGTGTAATCAATTGAATAATTTAAGAAATTTTTTTTTTAACAATTTAAGCCGGTGAAAACGGTTGTTTTAGGGGTTGTTTTGGGGGAGAATATTGAAATAATATAAAAAAGTAACGGGGTGAACCTTTCCGTTAGGGTTTTTTGCTACTGACCCAATTAACTTTTTTTCTATGGCTAAAGAGCCCAATTTCCCTTTGTATTGATTGTATCTAGACTTCTCGAATAGGTAAGACCTTCTCTATGGAGTAGAAGGTTATGGTCTCTAGGACACAACACCACGTGTCATAAACCTACTTTATCTTCTTTACTTCTGCTTAGGAAAAAATCTCAGAGCTCCAGCTGCAGCAATGGATACGACTGCGAACGAACCAGCTACGAAATGCTCCAAATCCTCTCCGATACCGAACTTCTTCGTATCGCTCTCATCGGCATTTACGCAAACACCTTCCGTGCGTACGAACAAGCCCAGTTTGCAACTCCTACCACCAGCTTCAGACTCAATCAAGTCGATTCAAGACTTCCATCGTTCTCTACTCTCCGCGACTGAGAAATTCACAGGCTTCTTCCATTCACTCGCCGCTAAGAACCCTCTCTTTCAGGAAGCGGTTCGCTTGTCCTCCGAGTTTCGCTGTATCTGCGACGAGGTAAAACACTCTCTTTCCTCAACAGCTGTGAAATTTGGTAAAAGGGTTAGTGGAGGAGTGTTTTTGTGAGCATTGGTTATTAAAAAGGATGAGTCTTTTTGCTGTTTTTTTAAAATTCAGATTCGTTTGAGGAACACTACAAGGGTGAGGCTTGCTATGTCTGATCATGGGTTTGCAGCGGTTCTGCCTGGAGATTCAGTTGCAGGAATGGTGGTTGCTAATGGGTTCATTAACTTCCTCAATATATATAACACTGTCCTTGTTGTCCGTCTAGTACTTACCTGGTTCCCCACTGCTCCTCCTGCTATCGTTAACCCCTTAAGGTATAAAAATCTCTCTAAGTGTTTTCCCTGTACGTATTCAGAAACGCCACTATTATAGGTCTAAAAGTTTCAATCTTTACATCTAAAGATCATACATCTCCTATTTTGTCAATTGCTGGAGGTAGTTTAGAGGAAGTTTGTGTTGGGATCAACTTGAATCTCTCATTTCTTGAATGGTTGCTTACTTCTTTTTTTTGTTGGTTTCTGATTATGTGTTACCATTGTAACAGCACTTTATGTGATCCGTATTTGAACATTTTCCGCGGAGTCATACCACCTCTTGGAGGATTAGATTTGTCTCCCATTTTGGCGTTTCTTGTTCTGAACGCCGTCACCAGCAGTGCTATGGCGCTTCCTTGTGAGCTCCCACCTGCTGAAGGAGCGACTTCTCCATCATCATGTGAGACAAAGTGGATGAGAAGAAGAAGGTTGAGTAGCAACAAGAACCAGACAACGAGCTCAGCTTCTATGAACTGAACCTTTCTAAGAAAACTCTGTTCTACGCTTCAATATGTGACATACCTTTTGAGTATAATTCTTCTGCATCTTTAGATTCTGAGTTATTCTTGTGTAAATTTTCTTTAGAATCTGAATAAAAAGAGTTTTTCTTTTTGGTAGGAATATGGGAGATTAACTCCCAATCTTTATTTAAAAATCAAACTTCAGTCTAGAAAGCGATTTTGTCGTGGCCGTGGAGGTCCAGCAACATCGCAATAATTCAACAACCTCATTGGATGCAACAACAAAACTATTGAAAGCAAACGATTTGATTTCTTATACACATGAGCAATTGAGACCAACCAGTCCCTTGTTAAGAAGTCATGGTACAAGCGTACCAGAAACGACAGCGGTGAGTATCTCCAATACCTGTCGTGAAAAACTCCATCACCATCTTAAAATCTACATTTACCTCTAACCGTCTAACCCCTTTCTCCCATGCAACCAGCAGACCATAGTACACACCCCAGAGCTCTGTCAACGGTGATGTGAATCTCCCTATATTCAAAACAAAGCCACCACACCACTGACCTTCTTCATTTCGCATTAGTCCTTCTGCAGCAGCCGGCCTCAGATTCCTCTGTGATGCTCCATCCGTATTAAGTTTCATGCACCCAACCTGAGTTACCGGGATCCAAAATTGTACCCAACCTGAGTTACCGGGATCCAAAATTGTTGCCGGTAATGAATATGTTAACTCCACCAAATCCGCATCTTAACGAGTTCACGATGTGTACAGTTTCGAAAAAGAACATTCTCCCTCCTTTCACATTATCCACCAAAAATGCCAACTCCAGTCTCTCATCACCCATTCTCCGTAGATAATATGTAGCTAAGTAGACAACAAATTATAACGAGATAATCCCAAACTACATCATAAATAGTCCCAAATGAGATTTTTAAAAATTCAACTAAAAAGACTGCAAAGAAATTTTTTTACAATACTTCTAGAGAAGACTGAATTTAGGGCATTTTTGCAACTAGAATTCCCTAAAAAGGACTTTTGGAGAAAATTCATTTGAAATTTTTTTGTTTAATTTTGAAATTAAACTTCCCTAAAAGAGATTTCTTACAAAATCTTTCGTAGCACTGAGACTTTTGAAGAAGTCTCACTTGCGTAGTTTTGCATTTGATCAGAAGATTAACTTTTTACAAAAAAACTTCAAGAAGTCTGAAACTAAAATGGTGATTTCTAAAGAAGTCTAAATTTAAAACGGTGTATTTTTCTGATTGATCAAAACTTTGATTTTCACAGAAGACTTCTCGTAGAAATCTTCTTTTATTTTAGACTTTTGGTGAAGTCCTTAAATATTATGGTGCAGTTTTGCAATTGACCAAAATTTAATTTTTTGGAAATCATTTATGTTTAACATCATTTATGTGGAAATCAATGATTTTTTGGATTACACACGATTTCGTGAATTTGGAACCTAAGATTATCACCAGAAGAAGTTGGAGAAGTTAAGGAGAATAGGTGGTTCTAAGCTCAAATATGGAGCAATTAAGGGTCTGGCTGTTTAAACGCAGTGGTTGCGATTGCGGCTGCGGGAGTTTGTGGATGTGGATGGTTGAAGTTTTAAGCGTTACTAAGCGATTTACACAACTGGTACAGCGGTTAGAAATTTGTGTGTTTGCGGGATACTTACGACTGGTTGACTACCAAATGCAAAAGCAGTTTATTAAAAAATTAACAATATTAACATTTTATATAATTATCAAAATATTTAAACTATATTATTATAACAAACATAAGAAATTTATTTAGAAAATCATAGTATTTAATTTTTTTTAAAAAAAAAATTTAGGTTTATATATATATATATATGTATTTATATATTAACTAGGTGTTTTGCCCGCACATGCGGGCATAATTTTCGTAGAATTTATTATTAGTCTATATTTTATTAATTCAAACAATTATAATAAGTTATGATTTATGTTTTAAAAATAATTATAAATGACAACACTCACATAACAAAATATTTTTAAAAATATATTTTACAAATGTGTTGCTTTAATTTATTTTAATTATATTTTTTTCAATCTTAATTTTTTATTTCTATAATGAAAATATATATTTTCAAGATAACAATATAATACATAAGAAGTATCTTATTTACTCAAAATATAATTTTTAATAGAAATTTGTTTTTATTTAAAATAAATTTATATGAAATTATTAAAAATATGACAAATAATCAAAATTATCTAAATCATGGAGAAATTACAAATCAGATAATTCACGTAAATTTTCTAATAGAAAATATATGTTCAAGATAACAATTTAATACATAAGAATTATCTTATTTTAAAAAATTTCGTATTATTATATACATTTGTTTTATTATTTAATAAATTATATATGAAATTATTAAAATATGATAAATAAGCAAAGTATAAAACTATGGAGAAGTTGATAAATCAGCATTGCTATCTTTATATTTAACTATTAATATTTTAACTTAATTTTTAATTTCTATGATAAAAATATATATTTTAAAGATAACAATATAATACATAAGAATTATCTTATTTTCTAAAAGCATATATTATTAATACAAATTCGTTTTTATTAAATAATAAATTGTATATGAAATTATTTAAATAAATAAATAAATAAATTTATCTAAAATCAAGGAGAAATTGATAACTAAGCAAAGTTACTTCTTATATAATAGTATAGATGTCTAAAATTATGGTAAATATTTTTGTTTTAAGTTTTTAAATTTTAATTAAATATTTTTTATTTTAATATACTTTTTTGGAGAAAAAAATTATTTTTGTTTATCATTCAGCAGTCGCAAACGTTAGCTGGAGCTTTTGATTTTGAGAGGTTTAGAGCGGTTTGAATTGGTTTAAAACGATTTGTAGTGTTTTTGTGATTGTTGCAAAACGCCAACAACCGCTACCAACAACAAGTAGGTTGTAGCGAGGAAACCAGTCACGCCCTAAGTCTCTTACATCAGTACATTGAGCAGTTACAGCTCGTTCATGGTGGTTACGGTTAATGGCAAACATCGACAATGGCAGTATCGTAAAAATAGCTTTCTGGTGTAGTGGAAGCTTCTATAGATAGATTTAGATCCGTTGATGCTAAGAATACCCGAAAACTAGGATTTGTGAATACTCTTCACTTCACAGTGTTTAATTAAAAACTCTTAGGATTTGAGAATACTCTTCACATTGAATATTTCTTTTATTAATAATCAATCAACGGAATACAACTCTAGACATAGGAAGCCTATATATATATATATGAAAACCATAAAACTCTAAAATAATAAAAATAATTATCAAAATAACTAATTAAATCAATAATAAATATTTATAAATTTCTTAAATATTTATCTACATCACTTTAGATCTAAAGATTTTTTTGTCTTTTTGCAAAAAAATCAAGAAATCTTCCTAATGCTAGTATCGTGATTATTGAGGTCTGGTAAGAGTATTTCACATACACAAAAGTATGAAGAAAAAGAGTAATATTTTAGTTGATTTCAAATTTCGGTATACTTTAGTAACTGTACCCCAAAAAACTAAGCCTAGACTTGAAGTATGCAATCATCTGGTTCATTACATTTTATCTTAGTGCTTTTCCTTTATTAAACACTAGTGGTTGGTCCGCGCTTCGCGCGGATTGTTCTTTTTTTTATTATGTTATTCGAACTGTGTTTTTATGACATATGTTGTGTTCATATGTCTTTGGGTTTGGTTCTATTTCCTTAATGAATGTTGAATATGGACTGCTGAAATTTTGTGGGAGCAGCATACAACATATGATATAGGGATGTATCATATGCTTATCATNACTAGTGGTTGGTCCGCGCTTCGCGCGGATTGTTCTTTTTTTTATTATGTTATTCGAACTGTGTTTTTATGACATATGTTGTGTTCATATGTCTTTGGGTTTGGTTCTATTTCCTTAATGAATGTTGAATATGGACTGCTGAAATTTTGTGGGAGCAGCATACAACATATGATATAGGGATGTATCATATGCTTATCATGAGGTTAGAAGGAAAGTCGACGTAAGAAGGTGTATAAGGATCCTGTATCGACTAAATGTGGCTTATGTTGGCTATTATTATGGGGCTTACTCTGTTGCTGATTTTTTTTTAGTTTTGGACTTAGGTCAGTTGATGGGAGCCTAGTAATTGTGTTGTCATCTTTTTCTGTTGACCTATGAGTGGGTAGGAACTGTTTTTTTAAAACAAATTCGAAATGTTTTCGTTATGATTAAGCTGGTTAAGTGTGGGTGGGGGCATCGTATTTTGAAAATGACATATAAGAGTGGTGTTGAGTAATATATACTAAAATATTTAAATTCAACATAACATATAAATTTGAGTAATATATACTAAAATATTTAAATTCAACATAAAATTTGGTTTAGTTTGAATTTTTGGATAGAATCAATAGATATTTTAATTATTTGATGTTTTGAGTTTTGTTTAGCTATTTAGATATTTATTTTTGAATTATTTGTATATATTTTCAAATATCTGGACAATCTGAAAATATCTTATAAGTGGTTGGCTCTACTTGTGGGATATTTGCGGTGGCATATCTGATTGTGTGGTCCACTTGTGGAAAATTTGTGATGGCATTGTTGCTTCTGCTTTTGTGTAGGTAGTATTGGATTGAGAAAGCTCGGGTTGGCTGTTGAAGATAATTGAAGTGATCTGAGATGCTCATACTCCAGGGATCATGTTAGTGATAAGTTTTTATACGAATGTGTGTCCGTCTTGTTTTTTTTTTTAATGTTACTGTTGGAAGGGTTTTGCGGTCAGTTTAGACCATCGGTTATAATATTGGGTGATGTTCACAGCTGGAAAGGGTTTGTGTTTTTTTTTCTAATCTTAAACAATAGGTTTATAGGTTATCTTCGTCTTCGATCTATACGGTGATGTCGATACTTGAATTCGTTAATTGTCAGTGATTCTGATCGTTGGCTATAAGTCGCAAATCATTGCTCTGTATGGGAGACGTTACTGTTTCACTTATCTCTATCAAAATGAAAGTTACTGTAAAAATGATAGTTTACTGGCGTAACTTATCTATTAACATGCATTTTAACTCGTGCAAGTTGGACTGCTGCTTGTTTTATTTTATCTCTTGATTGGTTGTTGAAGTTGGTTTCCACCCAGTAGCTAGTTATGTTTGGTCAAACACCGTAGGTTTTTTGATAGTTTAAGAAGACCTGTTGTAAAAACATAGTGAGATTAGGTGTGTGGGACCAGATGCCTGAATTCTCGTTGCATGAAAAGAATAAGGACTTATCAGAAAAATAATTAAGCATTGGGTTACAGAGATCAGTACGAATGTGAAGCGTTGAGGTGAGGGTTATCGTACACCTAAACATAGTAACATTAGGTAATTTTGGTTGGTAATGTTCTCAAACTCCTCGGTCTCTTGAACGACGTCTAGTCCCTTTACAACTCCACCAAAGACTGTCAATTTCTCGTTAAGGACTGTGATCTAAGAAAACACAATGAAAAACTCAAATCCTCCTTGTTCGTTTTTAGCTTTAGAAGTCCCCACCATGAATTCTTCTTGTTTTGAACTGCGTCAAGACATATATAGAAAAGAGTTTCCATAATCAGCCTAGAACCAAGCGTTTTCCATTTCAATATTCTTACTTTAGAGTGGCAATCTTTGACATAATCGAACTCGACAGAGTTGCCAGCTTGAAACCAAATTGCTTTACAACTCTACTGAATAAGAAACCTTTGAAGTACCCATCTTGACTGTGCACACCAATGACAAAACACGAAAAAGGAGACCAGCCCTTTAAGCTTCACTTCTCTCATCAGCTCCATCAACCATCTCAAATCCAGCATATTTTAGTGTTACTTTAAGCTTCTTTAGTAATTGGTCTGTTTCTTAATTTCTCAGATACAACTGATAAGGAGACCAACCCACAATTCGTGATGCTGCTGTGTAGAGGAGTACTTGCGGTAAAACAATAACCTGAAACATACAAAACACACACATACAGAATCTTGATGGTCGAAGCGCTACAGGAGCTTTTGCTGCAAAACGCGTAGGAATATAAAAATTTAGAGACGCCTTTGACCTAATGTCGTAAAGCAACAGTTGAAAGCACTAACTAAGTTCAAGAGAAACTAATGGCAAACATAGTATGATTTTGGCCTTAAATTTTTTTGCTTACGCCCATACTTGAACAGTTCAACAGTCATTGAAACTACGTCCATATCCAAGGTATAGAGTTCAACAGAGAAAACAATGCACTGAAGGAAGAAAAAAAAAAACAGAACACTTAAACTTGAGATGGGTAATATTGTGAAATTAAACTCACAGCAAACCATGGGACATAGGTATTCTTCACTCCCAAGAAGGCTGTATCCTACACAACAAATCAATCATTTTACAAAGGATATGACTATTGCCACAACCCGAGAGTAGTCTTCACCTCCCATAGAGAATAATACCTCAAGAAGTGATCTACAATCATGCGTTTGGATCTCAGATCTGTAGGCCACAGTAATTTTAAAATGTTAGACACCATTTTAATCATGCGGCTAAAATAAATTCATCAACTATAAAATACAAAGATGATAGAACCAATCTCAGTTTCATAGAAACTCATGGTTCAACGTATTTAGGCAAATGAATTAGATGTTCTTACATTCTCATCAATCAACAACATGTCAACACTCACCAGTTCTCCGGATCTGTTGCTATTCATGTTGATGTTTCTCGCCTCCCGAAACCGTAGTAGTTGGACCTCAGCCGTGTGAGAGCAACGCCCGGCATTCAAATCAGCTAGGAGAGTGTAGGAGGTCGCCATAGCAGTAATCGTGATAGATCTAAGTTTCTCCTGCGATATTTATAATTGAACTTTGGATGGTTTGTATGGGAGGTGAAGAGATCGACTAAATGCATCTCAGTGTGATAACGATGAAAAGCTCAGAGTTAATAAAATATTAATGGGAGGCTGAGGCGTTAAGGTGTGGAGATCTTGCTTCTGCGTCGGTTTACCTCAGGCGACTGCTGGAAGGGGGATGGAAACTGCTCGAAGGGGGATGGAAAGAAGAAGAGCGACTGACCTAAAAATAATTTATGCCTTCCAATATTTAACAAAGCCCGTCCAGCCCAATAAACTCACAAGATCAACGAAACCGGACTAAAAATTGAAATGAAAACCGGCTGGGTAAGCAATTACATTTACGTATTGATAGGACTGGTTAATTGGTTAATTGCTGAGGTGTCTTTTTTTGCCCCTATCTCCATGCTGATGTGGCACAAGGAGAAGGGAGAAAAGGCAACTTTATTATTATAGATTNCCGTCCAGCCCAATAAACTCACAAGATCAACGAAACCGGACTAAAAATTGAAATGAAAACCGGCTGGGTAAGCAATTACATTTACGTATTGATAGGACTGGTTAATTGGTTAATTGCTGAGGTGTCTTTTTTTGCCCCTATCTCCATGCTGATGTGGCACAAGGAGAAGGGAGAAAAGGCAACTTTATTATTATAGATTTCCTATGGGAGGGGATTACAACGAATGTATTTGAGACTATATAAAGCTTGTAAGCATGCCTTGATATTTAACGAAATCCACAAATGCTTGATCATGATATTAGCAGATTGTACTCTCGAGTGCTTCGTGACGTTTCAATTATTCAAAGGCAATCCAGCCCAAATATATATATAGAAAAGGGGTCCAAATTGGTGATTAGAGTTTGGTTAAGAGAGAAATGATGAGTATTTTGAGATAAACCAAGGCAAATTCCAAGAAAACTTGTGGACCGCATTGAGAGTGTAACAAAATGTCGAACATAATTGAATTCTTAAAAACCAGTGTTCGAAAGGTGAACTAGGCAGGCGGTCAAGATAAATAGAAAAGGGAAAAAGACAAAAAGTTTAGTTGGAAGACCGAAAACAACATTGAAATAATATTGCTTAGATGAGTCGCTTCCGGCTGAAATTTGGGAAGAACCATCGAGCAGTACAGTTGTGAATAGAGGAAGAAACTGAGTGGTATGGTCGTTCAAACTTGTTTGTCTCCAGATGAAAGATAAAAGTAAGATTTTCATCACGACCAAGACCACTGAAATAGATAGAATTTCTATCAATTCCTCGTATATCATGAGCGGAATAGATGGAATTTCTATTAATTCCTTGAGCGTTGACAGTGATCCCCAAATCCAAAACCATTGCTTCATCACCAAGAGATACAACTTTCTCCCACTCATGTGTCAACGAATTCATCCCGTAGATTTCGCATAACCAGACACCGTAACCATTCAACATGCTCGTAACCAACAAAACATCTCCGCTTACAGTGACCACCATTCTTTGCTTATAACCATAGACATGTGGTGGCAGCGGCGGAGCCAAGAAACAATTAAAAAGGTGTCAAAAATTAATCAATAACAAAAACTGGTGTCAAGGGGGCTTGAACCCTGGTTTTTAGGGGTGTCACTAAGCAACTTTTACCATTAGCCTACTGATTCCTTCTTGTTTTACCATACATTTGACAAAATTTATAGATTTATAGGGTGTCACATGACACCCCATTCTACTGAATAGATCCGCCACTGTGTGGTGGTTCACTACTCAAATCAGTAGTCACTATAGTTTCCGAAACTTTTCGCGGAATCTCTCCAGAGAAATCCCAGACTCTGATCGTATTAACACCGGAATAGGAGGAATGATAGTGATAATAAAGCTTGTGGTCCTTGTAAACCATGTCACGACACTCTCCAAAACCAGAAGAACAATCAGGTGGAATCTGTCTCCAAAACTTATCTCCTTTCTTGCAAATAACCACACAATCATTTATAAGCGTCCACATAACGAGATAATCTTTGGTTTCCTCGTCTACCCATAACTGACATGCATACGTCAAGGTGCCTTGGAACTGATGAGTTACGAAACTAGTTCTTAAACGGAAATAATCACCTACTATCCGCTCGACTTTTATATTTCCAAGCTGTGATTGCACCGGTGGTAGAATGATCCTTTCACCCGGTGTTAAAAGATCGACGATGTATAAATTAGATAAATGGTTTTGCATTAGAAGCCAGCATCCACAACCACAAGTCGCTACACACTTGGTACCTTTTTCAAAACCGAGATCTTGCGTTGTAGTGTAGATCTTGTCTTTTTCCTCGGGATTAAACAACTTGCAGCAGCAATTGTTGTTGTCGTTTTCGTGAGGGAATAGAATCAACCATGGGATCTGGTTTTTAGGATAACACTCTCGAGAAACACAGTACCACGACCAACAAACGGACTTACCTCGCTCGAAATCGCCGAAACTGAGTCGTTTGAAAACTGAGCGAATGAGATCACGAGGAAGCTGGGACCACTGACTCGAATCTTTTCTCTTGAACAAATCTTCTGGTTCAGAATCGGTGGTGTTCTTCATCATTGCGGCCACTAGACAACCCTAGAATTCTCACACCAAAATTAATTGATACTAGAGAGAAAAATTAACAAATCGTTCTATAATAGAAAGGGTTTTAAGCAATGTAGGCGTTATATTACTTATGCTGTTATTCAATCATGTATTTTAAAAGAGTTTAAATCTAAACATAATTCATTATTATTCAATTGATGATTCTAAATTCTATTTTAAAATTCAATGTTATTCAATCTATGATTGAATTTCAGATTTTAAAATCTGATGTTATTCAAATTTTAAAGATTTTAAAATTCTTTGTAATATAAATGGATTTCAAATCATTGGTGATGGATTCTAATGAATAAATGATTAAATTCAAAATCCAAGGGGTATTGCAGAGATTTTAGAATCCATCAACTTTTACAATCTTAAAATTTTAAAATTGATAGATTGTAAAATATATAGAATTGATTTCAAATCACTAATTGAATAACACCCCCTTAGTGATTAATGAAAAAATCGGAGATTAGTCAGGAAAATTAATTTTAAGGTTTTTTATATATTACCAAAAATATGGCGTGGTGTAATAGTTTATTTATTTACCAACTAAGTGTTTTATCCGCATTTTCGGGCATAATTTTCTTATAAATATTTATTAACTGATGTTTCATTAATTTAAAAACCAGCATAATAAATTATTATTTATGTTTTTAAAAATTATAAATGAAACATCAAATAATTATCAATGACAAAAATCAAACATCAGAAATATTTAAAGGAATATATTCTATAATTATTTTTCTTGATTTATATTTAATTATAATATTTATACAAATATTTTTACTTAATTTCTATTTGATTATAATTTATTATATCTTAATTTTAAATTTTATAATAGGAAAACATATTTTCAAGATAAAAATATAATACATAAGTTAGTTATTTTTAAAAAATATAATATGAAAATTTTGTTTTTAATTATATAAAAATTATATAAGACTATAGAAATTATGAAATATAATTAAAATTACCTAAAATCATGAAGAACTTAATGAATGAGCAAATTTACTTCTTAAATAATTTTTCTTGAGTGATGATTTATATTTAATTAATAATAGATAATTTTATATTTTGATTTTAAATTATATAATATAATAATATATTTTCAAGATAACAACATAATACATAAGAATTACCTTATTTTATAAAAGTATACTATTATTAGTGTAAATTTATTTCAATTATAGAATAACTCCAATTTTTTATATCTTAATTTTAAATTTCTAATAGAAAAATATATTTTCAAGACAACAACTTAATACATAAGAAGTATCTTATTTTCTAAAATCTAATACTACTAATCTAAATTTGTTTTAAATATATAATAAATTATAGAAATTATGATAAATTATTAAAATTACCTAAAATTATAATATAATAATATATTTTCAAGATAACAACATAATACATAAGAATTAACTTATTTTATAAAATATCATATTATCAATATAAATTAGTTTTAATTATATAATCAATAATAAACAAAATTAGAGATATTCTGATAAATGATCAAAATTACCTAAGATCATGGAGACAAATCAACAAATTCACTTTTGAAATCATTGTTTTGATTATTTATATTTAATTATTAATAATATAATAACTTTAATTTAAAGTTTTATAATACGAAAATATATTTTCCACATAACTACATATTACATAAGAATTATCTTATTTTTAAAAATATAAAATTATTAATATAAATTTGTTTTAGTTATATAATAAATATAATAATTTTTATATCTTAATTTAAAATTTAAGTTTTATATATAAAATATATTTCAAGATAACAACATAATTCACAAGAATTATCTTATTATCTAAAATATGATATATTCATTTAAATTCGTTTTATTTATAAATAAATAAATTATATATAGATATTAAAAATATTATTATATAAATAAAATTAACTAAACTTATGGAGAACATGACAACTAAGCAAATTTACTTCTTAAATAATAGTATAGATTGAATAAAATGTCGCAGGTTCAGACATGTTAGCCGCCCTTTTCATTAATGAGTGCGACTTCTTCCTCAAGAGTGTGTCGACGGAAGCCCCAGTTGTCGCCTCTGCGTTTTTTTCTTTCACGAAACAGATCTATAAAAGATATAAATATCATTCTTAGATCCGGTGAGCTTCATGTTTAGCTTCTACAAACACACATAACTTTTTAATGAAAGTTATCTAATCGTTTATGACCATGAATGATGAACTTGAGCAGCTCTAATAAGATTATAAAATTAAGATTTTGAGATGAAATAAGAGAGAAAGTTAAAGGAAAATGGTTTGTGAGTGTAAGAAATCGAGTTATGAAGATGTATACGTTGGTTTTTGGTGCATTAAAACTTGAAACTGGATGTTTATGGTGGTTGATATATTAATGGTAATGTTAATATTGTAAATAAAAGAGGAAAATGAGAATTATTAAGTAAAATACTTATTTTCAAAAAATAAAAAGTAATAATATATCAGTGAATAACCCAAATTTTTAGGATGAATAGGAAAAATGAAAATTTCAAAAAAACTACGGGTTAATTTAGGATTTGACTTCAAATGTTGAGTCATATTTGAAAAACTCTCAAATAACAATTTATAATTCTTACAAATGATATATTAATCATTAGAAATGATTTTAAACACAAGTAAATAATTTATAAATCCGTTTTATAGTTAATATAAAGAATTATATAGGTATATTACGACTTATATAGGAAAATTAAGCTATTTTAACATTATTTTCAATAAGAAAATAAATATATTATTATCTTTTTAGTTACTTTTTAAAATATAGTTTATAAATAAAGATCAATGAAGAAAAAAAAAATATGAAGCATCATATAAGCTTTCCATAATTACTACATTTTAGCTACTATTAATGATTGTATTTAAGATTATATAGCTTATTTATCAATTAATATTAAATGGTTCTCGAATTACCTTTTTAAGCATAATTAAAATAAATAAAAGTTCAAAATCATTAACCAATCAAATTATAACATTTTAAAAAAAAAACTTTACCTATAATTGATCTCTAAACAAAAATCACTTAAATAATTTTTCAATTAATATATAGTAGGATCCTGAAGATTTTTTTAATTTAAAAACAACGTTAAAGATCTCTATTCCTTTCTCTTAGGTTTGCGTTTGCTTTTTTTTTTTTACACAAGGTTTGCGTTTGCTTTTTAATTTTTCTAAGTTCATCTGAAATCTTTCCTTTTCCTCTGAAAGGATTTTATTAAACAATATCACGATTACAAGAGCTGGCGGTTACCGTACCTTTTGAGTAATTTCATTCTTCTACGATCTTTCGATTCTGAATTTTTCTTTGTGTAAATTTTTATTATAAAATGAATAAAAAGAGTTGTTCTTTGTAAGATTTTGCAAACTTTCAGCACAAAAGATAAACTTTGTTATCTTCATTAACAACTTTCATTTAAAGGATTAAGCAGATGCTTTGCATTTCAAGACGAAAACAAGAAGGATGAGAATGACAAGCAACCCACCAAACGAGCCACAAAGCCTGTGAATCCAGTAAGGATCGAACCTGGTCAAGCTCTGGTCACAATACAGGGACAAGGCAATAGCCAAAACCAAGAAGAGGAGGAGCAGGGGAAGCGTAAACATGAAACCAAAGAGTTCTTCTTCCTGTTCTTCATCTTCCTCTGATAAGCTGTCGATGTAGAGAGGCGAGAGCACGGCTAGTACAGACAAGCTTATGGCCAGAAACTTCCTGGACGAAGTAAACCTGGATGATCCTGTTTCCATGCGTAAAAAAAAAACTGGTAGAACAATCAAGATATAAACTGGTAAGTTCTTTACAATCCTGGCTTAGTGTTTATCTTGTTGGAAGGGAAAGGGTTTGTTTTCTTGGGGAGAATCTCTACACAAGTTGTAAGATAGTGTCTAAAAGCGGGTAACAATTTACACAAAGGAGAGGAGAAATTTTCCAATGGCTTACAGGAATCTTTTGTTTGTAATGGCCACACACTGATAAATTATTCTTTAGAATCATATGCCATTTTTCCCTTTTTCTCTTCCTTTTAGTACTATCTTTTTTGTTATAAAGTTAAAGCCTAGAAGAAATGGTAGCAACTGTTAAGCTTCTTTACTAACAATTATTAAGATGATTTTGTCTAATCTATACTATATAAAAGTTGAGGCTATAAGCCATTGAAAGTGTCCACGTAGGATTTAAGTCCTCCAATCGTATAATGACACATCATTATATTAGTTTATTATTTTTATAAAATGTCATTGTTTCCAAATTATATTAAAAACGAAATTAATATTCCATATATAACTTAGCTAACAAAATAAATATTAACATTTTACAAATTACTTAAAAATGTTAATTGTTATAAAAAATGGAAAATCAAA